AGGGATGTCTGCTTCATACTTTTTTTTGTTGAGGCTTCCCAAATCACATTCTTCTACACCAGACCATATCATCAGCAATGGTATTCAAAAGCAAGTCTTGCCCTACAACTCAACAGTCTCGTCAGAACATGCCCTTGTTACAACATGCCAATCCAACTCATAACTGTTTCGTGATTGCATCACTGCCACCCATTCTCTCCACAGATTGTTTTCCGGGGACGATGGTGATTTTAATACTCGCAGTTTTCTGACACCACAATTTCGCTTTACGATCTCTCCCTCGACTTATGATTCACAACACTCAGCATTTCTATTATTGAACATTTGAAAAAGAATGAGGCTCAAAACCACCTGAGCCACCCTCCATCGAGCCAGTCAATTAAGCGGCGCCCCTTTCTGCCCTAAATATGGAGAAGGGTGTGCGGCTGGCAGACCCCTGTCCTGGCTATTCCAAATGTGGGCCAATTATTGGCGTGGCTGCAGCCGGAAGAGTATTGGGGGGCCGTGCATGTTTGCCCTCGTATCCTGCAAGCCACAAGCCCTCTCGCACCGTGTACATCGCGAAAACGGACAAGCGCAGGCAATAGTTTTATGTCCAAAACGAGAACTATTGCATTTTTCTTGTGTCCCTTTTTGTCCTGTAATATCCGATAGTTCTGTGAGGCTGACCTGCGGAGGCGTCTCTGCAGCGTTCCGTCTGCAAGCTTCAGGCCGACCGAGAGGAAGTGCGTCGTTTGTACGAGGTGTTTCTGAGGCGTCATACGAATGCAGTCTAACAGAACAACATACATCGCACTTTGCGTCTTTGTCGTGGGCCAACTCTATTCGCAGGTGATATCTCTTCCACGCTCTGTTTTGGGCACATTGGGCACACCCCATTCCAACTCACACCCTGCCAATCTTTCCAGTGAAATGCCCCCCAAGGAGTGAAGAGGTCACTTCGGAAGCCTTATTCGGTCACATTTTTGATCACTTTGCTGGAGAGCACAGAGCCAAGGGGGTGGGGGATATGCAATTATGCACGGGAGCTGACAAGGGGACACCGTGAATTCGGCAGGTCAGCCGCTGGACGCAAGCTGGAAAACAGCGCATCACGGCGGCTGCATTATTGGGCAGCAACCCGAACAACACTCACAACTGTGACCCGGTCGTCCAAATTGGTACAATAGCTGCATCTTTCGTGGCGTATCCTTTCTACGACGAAGACCCATGCCTCGTAGACCAGGAAAATGCCCTCTACTGGCTGACTATTTCAGTAAGAGCTTAGTTTCCTTGATGTCTCTCCACCAACGACGGCTTGACAATTGCAAAAGGACGCTGTTGAAGTTATCTAGGTGCTTTAGTGCATTTCAATGACCATATGATACACCTTGCACAAAAGACGGTACAGCATTACATGGCCTGCGTGTACTATACACACTGCACTCATCCTTAACGGAAAATATGATGTTCAGCCATATGTTGTATTGCCTTGTGGATTGTGCTTTCCCTGCAGCATTTACAAGCCACTGAGATGTTCGTCAGCTCAAATCAATATTGTCTCATGGCTGCGCACGTTGTTGACAGATTCTGTAAGGAGGACGCAATGCGACAAGTAAATTAAAGGTACACTTCCGACCGTTATAACTGTATTTCACAGCATGTGACTGGAGAATATTCATATCTTCCTTGCGCCCGTTTACTCGTGGTCATTCCAGTCGCTTTGGAATGCGCCAGTCAATTTACAGGGTCGACTGTTCTGGTGTATCATACAGATGCATTCCACAGGCTAGAACAGCTGCCTCCGTCATTCCTATTTTCGTCCCTACGTCTGGACCATACAAATATTACGGGGCAGTGAATCAACTGACTTTCTATGTTGTACGACGTACATGCATGGTTTTCAGTGGTGCCAAGCAGCGAACCGTTGAGGCGCTGTGAAATGCACTGAGGGGATTCATTACCTCCTGAAACGTGCCGGGTGGGCGTCTATCTCGCAGACGCTGTCCCAATTTAGCGCCTTGTTAGGCCTAAGAGACCTAAAAGTACCTAGCGGCAGGCTTAGAAGGTTAGAAAGATAGTGGATGACAGCAGGCCAATCACAATGCCCAGTTTGACAGGAACCCCCACTGTTGGCAACTTTCTCGGGTCAAGAACAGTCTACGGGCCGCCACTTTTTCTCCTGACCAGCAAATGGTCGCCGAATGAGGAAACTTTCACTGGCAAACGGGGTCCCAACGGCCAGGGCCCAGGGCAAAAGCAACGAAAAGACAACGAAGGATTTTAAGCGTATAAGATGGTGTCAAATATTGGACCGTTACCTATTCTGGAGGACGTTTGCAGCACAGAGAACAACAAAACAATAAATCGTACACCTACGCCGTTCAGAACACGTTGGGCCTTTTTCTGCCCTTGTATTCATAGCAGAAGTGAAACGATTCCTCTCTGGCATGATGACCTGTCCCCAATCCGTTCTCGTCGTTCTCGTCGTTATCGTCGTTATCGTCGTTTCTCGCTGCTTGTCGTCTTCCAGGTTAGGGATCCGAGCAAGGTCGTCGCTTCCCCCGCTGCATAAAAATGTGACTGCCGTTTGCCGCCTTGCCCCTGCGGCATTCCCGTCATAGAGCATTGGACCGTGCTCTTGCCCAAGACACACCGTTACTGGACCGAGTGGCTCTTTCCCGATTATTATTTCCCGTCTCAGCCTTCCCTGCAGGCCGCCCCCCCTTTCTCTTTTTTTGTTATCCTTGCCCTCAACATCCTCTACCCCCAACCTCCCACAGTCCAACGAACATGCAATACAGAATACTCCGTGCAAGGGTACTTGTCCACCCTCATGGTAGCTCCAGCGACGTCGACCAACCGCCCTGACCGGGTTATTGCTAACCGACAGGTTCCAGATCCTTGACGCCTCTTTAGCGGATGGACCTGAAAATGTCAGCTCTCGTTGTCGATTCTGTGGGCCAAAGTATATCGACTCCAAGACAAAGAAAAGGCACGTCCAATGGCCCGCCCAACGAGGATTGGCTCTTTTCGCCTCGAGGCTTATAGAAGTTGCTTTCTCGGCCCATTTTTGACCATTTGTTGTCTTATCGGCCACGTTCATCTTCGTCTGATTTTCGAACTGCCTGATGGGCGGCGAGATATGCTTATTCCTCACGCGAAACTAACATTCCCCATCGAACACATGATTTTGCAAGGTGGTGTCCGAAACGGCTCCGGAAGAAACTTCCTCTGTCCCAGTATCAGTATGTCTTTTCCTGGTGCAATTCCGTATCCTGCCTTCTCCAACAGCACAACGTTAGGCATGCAGAGTACGACAAACACAGTATGCATCCCTGGTGGAGCTACTCAATATATGGCGTGGCCGTACCAAGATGTTACCCCTTTGGGAAGACGAAAATTCAAAGTACCAGAGGTGACATATCGCCCTATTTTTAACACCACTGTCTACATCTTCGTCGTCTCCTTCGTACCCCAAGGGGCCGAGACGCCCGCCTGAGGAGACCGCTTTTTCCTCGGCGTACCATACGACGCCCCTGAACGGTGTCAATACTCTTGGGATGCCAGTCTGAAAACAAAAAAGCCGTCATCTTGTCTCTTTGTGGCTTGTTTTCCCGGCTATTTCTACCGTTGGCACCAAGCTGTAAAGGGACGCCAGGAGAAAGAAACAGTCGCGAAAATTGGCTTGTTATGCATTCAACAGCTCGTGGCACCAACGGTACTGGACACTACTACTTTCAGTCCATCCTCCTTCGTTTGTGGCGTCTTTGTTTTGATTCACTACCAATTCAGGGGTGAGACCGACCCGGGTCTGTTGTACAGTTGACATGTATCTTACGCCACTTCAGCCGTACCTTGGCGTGGCATTTACATCTCACGCACTGTTTCCATGTCTTGTTTCCCAAATGCCACCCTTTCCGGAAACACGACGATGTATTATTGACGCAGAGCAATTTTGTGTTGAAAGAGCGGCGCGTACACGCAAAGAACTGGGTGTCTCCGCAAAAGGAAATATGGGCAACTGGCGCCTTATATGGCGTGTGAAGCTATTGGAAGGTTTATGTACTGTATGAGCTTGGCTTGTCAATGAATGCATTGAATCTTTGATAAGCCTCCAGCCTGTCCTGGAGGTTCTGTTTTCTATTTCCCCATTTGTTTTTCCTGTTTTCTTTTTCTCCTGTTTCTTTCGTCTCTTTTTCTTTCTCCTTTTCTCTTTCGTCATTTCTTTTTTCCTCTTTCCACTTACCTTCTCTTTTCTTTCTTTTCTTTCTCTTTCGAGTCCCGCAACCACTCGCCAGCTCTCCTTCTCAAAGCATCCACTCGTTTTGCTGTTGAAGGGATCTGCTATCTGTCTCTTCGATATCTACATCGACGAGCCAGATATCATGAGGGCTTGACTCGACAAGACTTTTCTTCCTCCTTGGATTTACTTTCGAACCGAATCGATCATCCCGGCCGGCACTGAATACAGCTTACACGACCAAACAACACCGGCATCATGCGGTTCTCCACCAGTGTGGCCGTTGCCGTCCTCGCGGCCGGCTCCCAAGTCGCCGCCGTCCCTGCCAACTGTGTGAGTCTCTCCCCAGTAAACTTTATACCACGATTACATGCTCACAATCACAGGGTGACACCGCGTGCGTCGACGCTATGTTAAACGACTACCTTCAGGTGGATCCCGTGACTTGGTGCGACATGTTCTTGAGTCCGCCAGTCAAGCAGTCCGTGAATGTGCCAGCCCCTTGGGCCGCAAGCTGCCCCAACGATGTGGCCAGAATGACTATCAACTGCAACTGCATCTTGGACGATGAAGAACCCTGCAGCAGCGAGTCGTCGTCGTCTGTGGTGAGCAGCAGCTACAGCAGTGCCAGCAGTGTCAGCAGTTCCAGCAGCATCGTCAGCTCGATCCCCAGCAGTTCGGCATCGTCGAGCTACAGCTCGTCTGCCTCGCCCAGCCCGAGCTCGTCTCTGCCATCGAGCACACCCTCGTCATCGTCTTCGCCTTCATCCTCACCCTCCTATTCGCCCTCGTCGAGTGTTTCGCCCGCCTCTTCGTCTGCCTCGGAGTCCAGCAGCAGTGAGTCTTGCAGCAGCGAAATCTCGTCCTCTGAGTTTTCGAGCTCTAGCTCGATCCCGAGCTCGTCGGCCAGCTCTTCGGCCAGCTCTTCGGCCAGCTCTTCGCCGAGTGTCTCGCCCAGCAGCTCACCAAGCATCTCGCCAAGTAGCAGCCCGTCGGTATCCCCGTCGTCTCCGTCGGTTTCTCCTAGCCTAAGCTCGCCTCCTCCCTCGAGCACACCTTCGTCGTCGGTCTCCGAATCCAGTAGCAGCGAGGAACCCTGCAGCAGTGAAATCTCGTCGTCCGAGATTTCCAGCTCGAGCTCGATCCCTAGTTCTTCGCCGAGTCATTCACCGAGCGGTTCATCGAGCAGCTTGCCAAGCAGCAGCCCATCGGTGTCGCCCAGCGTCAGCCCGTCGGTGTCGCCAAGCAGTAGTCCATCGGTCTCGCCTAGCAGCAGTCCATCGGTGTCGTCCAGCGTTAGCTCGTCGCCATCCTCGTCGCCTTCCCCCAGCCCCAGCTCATCTCTTCCCTCGAGCACGCCTTCGTCCTCGGTCTCCCCAAGCGGGTCGTCCGTGTCGTCTGTTTCGTCAGTCTCTGGGTCGAGCAGCAGCGAAGAGCCCTGTAGCAGCGAGATCTCGTCGTCCGAATTTTCCAGCTCCAGCCCGAGCTTCAGCCCGAGCTCGAGCCTAAGCAGCGCACCGTCGGGTTCGTCCAGTGTCAGCCCGTCTGTGTCGTCCAGCGTCAGCCCGTCTGTGTCGTCCAGCGTCAGCCCGTCTGTGTCGTCATCGCCTTCTCCCAGCCCTAGCTCGTCGCTACCTTCGAGTACTCCGGCCTCATCTTCGTCCCCGTCTTCGGTGCCGCCTAGCAGCAGCTCCTCTGCTTCGTCGAGCATTCTATCGAGCACGCCGTCGAGCACGCCGTCATCCTCGCCCTCGTCAAGTGCTTCGTCGATTTCGTCGATCTCTGGGTCAAGCAGCAGTGAAGAGCCCTGTAGCAGTGAAAGCTCATCGTCCGAAATTTCCAGCTCCAGCCCTAGTTCCAGCCCCAGTTCCTCTCCCAGCAGCTCTCCCAGCAGCTCCCCCAGCAGCTCCCCCAGCAGCTCGCCCAGCAGCTCGCCCAGCTCTTCGCCTAGCTCGTCGGTCAGCTCTTCGCCAAGTGTCTCGCCCAGCAGCTCGCCCAGCTCTTCGCCCAGCTCGTCGGTCAGCTCTTCGCCGAGTGTCTCGCCCAGCAGCTCACCAAGCAGCTCACCAAGCGGTTCGTCCGTCTCATCTAGCGCCAGCTCATCTGCATCCTCGTCGGCATCGCCCAGCCCAAGCTCGTCTTTGCCTTCAAGCACCCCGTCGTCATCGGCTTCGTCCTCGCCGTCATCGTCGCCTTCGGTGCCGCCCAGCAGTAGTCCGTCCGTGTCTGTCAGCAGCGTGAGCAGTTCTGAAGGGCCCTGCAGCAGCGAAATCTCGTCTTCCGAGATTTCTTCATCTGCCAGCTCGTCTGCCTCGTCTGTTTCATCGTTGCCCAGCTCGAGCTCGGTTCCAACTTCATCAGTTCCTTCTTCGTCGGCGTCGTCACCATCAGTCTCGCCGTCAGTTAGTTCGTCTTCGTTCAACCCGGGGTCATCCTCGGTCTCGTCATCCTCGGTCTCGTCATCCTCGGTACCGTCATCCTCGGTCCCATCATCTTCGGTACCGTCATCCTCGGTCCCATCATCCTCGGTCCCATCATCTTCGGTCCCATCATCTTCGGTCCCATCTTCTTCGATTTCAACTTCTGCAAGCTCTTCATCGGAGGAGCCTTGCAGCAGTGAAAGCTCGTCGTCGATAAGCTCGTCGGCTGGTTCGTCTGTTTCGTCATCTATCAGCCCGGTGAGCTCCTCTGCGAGCTCCATCAGCAGCTCGGTGAGCCCCAGTTTCGTGTCGTCCACATCGGTCAGCCAGAGCTCCTTCGTCAGTTCCGTCAGCTCGTCTGCTCCGCCTAGTTCAACGCCGTCTGTTTCTTCCTCCTCCGTGCCCTCGTCTTCCTCAAGCAACCCGTCGAGCAGCATCTCTAGCAGCCTGTCGAGCAGCATCTCGAGCAGCCCGTCGAGCAGTTCAGTTTCTGTCTCTGTCTCGTCATTCTCTGCAAGCTCATCGTCCGAGCCGCCTTGTAGCAGCGAAGTGTCGTCTTCTGTCAGCTCTTCGGTTTCGCCGAGCTCTACACCGTCTCTCTCATCGTCTGTGAGCTCATCCAGCGTTTCTTCAGCTGGCTCTTCCAGCGTTTCTTCAGCTGGCTCTTCCAGCAGTTCGTCTGTGCCGCCTAGCTCTACGCTATCTTCTGTGAGCACGTCAGCCAGCTCGTCTGTCCTACCAAGCTCGACACCCTCAAGCATCTCTTCATCCGTTAGCTCCCCCGTCGCATCGTCGTCTGTGAGCCCGAGCTCTTCCTCTGCGACGTCGTCTAGCAGTGAAATTTCGTCGTCGGTGAGTCCCTCGGGCAGCTCCTCTGTACCACCGAGCTCGTCGCCGTCGGTGAGCCCCTCGGGTAGCTCCTCTGTACCACCGAGCTCGTCGCCGTCGGTGAGTCCCTCGGGTAGCTCCTCTGTACCACCGAGCTCGTCGCCGTCGGTGAGCCCCTCGGGTAGCTCCTCTGTACCACCGAGCTCGTCGCCGTCGGTGAATCCCTCTGGCAGCTCGTCTATCCCTCCGAGCTCTTCTCCTTCTGTTAGCACTTCGGGCAGCTCCTCTGTGCCACCGAGCTCTACTCCATCGGTGAGCTCCTCGATCAGCTCCTCTGTGCACTCGATACCTAGTAGCTCGACTAGTCCCTCATCTGGTCCTATCAGCCAGTCTACTCCTTCGTCGACGAGTCCCTCGTCTGTCCCTACCGGCCCGTCGAGCATTGCTTCAGGTCCCATCAAGTCGACCGCTGGCGGTAGTAGCACGACTCTGTCGACCGTCACCACGTCAAGCTCGATACCCAGCTCGTCCGAGTTTGTCTCTACCTACTTGTCCACATCCACCGTCTACACGACGACCTGCTACGTGGTCACCTCGTGCCCGCACAACGGTGGACACTGCGAGCTCGGCCACACCACGACTCAAACTATTTCCTACACCACGACCGTCTGCCCCGTTACGACGACCGTTCCTGTAGGCGGTGGTGGCAGTCACGGTGGCGGCGGCGGTGGCGGCGGTGGTGGTGGTGGTGGCGGTGGTGGCGGCTCGGGCGGCGGTGGTTCCGGTGGCAGCGGTGGCTCTGGTGGTTCCGGCAGCAGTGGCTCTGGCGGTGGTGGATCCGGCGGCGGTGGCTCCGGGTGGTGGTGGCTCCGGTGGTGGCGGTGGCTCCGGCGGCGGTGGATCCGGCGGTGGTGGATTTGGTGGTGGTGGTGGTGGTTCCGGCGGCGGTGGCTCTGGCGGTGGTGGTGGATCCGGTGGTGGTGGTGGATCTGGCGGTGGCGGTTCCGGCGGTGGTGGTTCCAACAATGGAGGCGCCGGCAAGGGCAGCACGGCGACAACGACGGGCCCTGCCGCCGTTGTCACAGCATCGGCCGGCCGCATGGTGTCGACGGCGATGTTTGCACTTATCCCGGCTCTAGTGGCCACCGTTCTTCTATTGTAAGGCTTTGGGACCTTCGTTGTCCTTCACCTGGTTTCCTTGGGGTATACCTTTGAAACCTGTTTCCTGTGTTCTAAATTTTTCTTACATTTTTCTCCTTCTGTATCCTGGATTTCTTTTACACTTTTTTTTTCTCAATTTCTACTTGAACCCTTTTGAAATATTTCATCTCAAACCAGACCTCGGGGATGTTTTTGGTTGCGACAACCAGCACCTAATATTATTTTACTTTGTTCTATTCCTTCCAGGATAAAATAAGTCGGACATAAAATAAAATTGGTTGACCAAAAAGCAGACAATGGGAGTATGAAATCAAAAGCGGATAGTGATGTCCCAGCGAAACCATCGCAACTATTTGAGCCCCATCGTTGTGCCGACACATTGGCGAAATGTTCCCGTCAAAACCTATTTCGGCTCGTTAGGATATAGGACAATGCCTCACCGCGAACCATTGCAGAAACAATGCGGTGTGTCCTCGTCGAACTGAAGCGGTGTCCCGTCACTTTGGATATCGCCACACCATCGCCATGCCGAAAACCAAATGCACAATCCCTGTCCAGACAGTACAGGGGTTGTTGCAGTATGGAAAGCCCTCCCGTTCCCCCGAAAAAGCATGTGGGCCCATGCTACTTCTGTACAGGCGACCTAGACTCAGCTTCCATCTTTTCGCGATGTTCGTGACCCTTTATAGCTACTTCAATGTCAAACTATGTCGTTGATTTTTTTCTTTAATTTTTTTCTTTAAAAAATTTTTACTCGTCTCATTTTGTGCTCCTTTCGTTGGGGCTCGTTGATGTGACCTAGAATCGTCATTTTCGGAGCATCGAGCATTCTTTATGCGCCCACTGGCTGGGTACCATTGCAGAGTTGCATCTGAAGAAAGCGAACAAACGACAAAGATGTGTAGCACTGTACCAACAAACGGGTACCAAACAACTATTATCAGCCTCACGGCTTGGTACCCTCACGTAAAACCCCGTTCCCCTTTTTGATAGAGCCAGCAGCTGCCGCCAGCTTTCTTTCGCCATTCGTTTTTCCACGTTCATAACCCTTGGCGACTCCCTATGAATTCTTGATTCTGCCCTGCCCGGCCAGGTCCGTGTCGAAAATATTTCACCGGTTGTGTTGTTTGCTTTTATGGGTCATTCCTTGGGCAAGCAGGCATTTGCGTCATGTATGACACCTTTGAGGACGGCAAACTTTTCTTTTTATTCAGTGTCTTTTCCATGCATTGTATCCCGGTCACGGTCTCGGTCACGGCGGCCATTGTGTACTTTACGGAGTGCCGAGTGTCGTTTTTGCTGGGCTCCCGCTCTCGCCTACCTGGGTTTATGTCGCGGCACAGCCTCTCATTCGTGCGCATACCAGTGGGGAAAAGGGGGCAATACAACAAATAGCAGCAACAATTTGTCATGGTACGGTGTACTGATGTCTAGCTGACGTTGGCGTCGTCGAACAATCCGCGGTGGAAAAGGGAAGCGATAAGCGTAACAACATATGCATCAGTCCCGATGGGCAACTGTGATGAACGTCGCCGATTGAATGCAACCAAAAGGTATGACGCCCTATTTTGTCGGAGAGATGAACCGCCCGGTACCGTAGAGAACCACACCGACATTCAAAAGACTCCCTTTTTTTGAAAAATTTCACTCTTCAACACGACTTGCGGCCCACCGAGCCTTTATTGGGACGGCAGAGAGAGCCCCCAGAATTTCTCGCTAGAGAACCACATGATCAACTGTTTTCGTTACTTTTTGGTCATCCCTTGAACAAGAATAAGACGAACGAGGCCTGATAGCCGTCTTAGTGAGTTTGTTGTTCCAAAATACATGTGTCGTAGCGGACATTCGTATTTGTAAAAGTTGATGGAGGATGCATTCTTGTGCAGCAGAAGAAATTTCACATTTCACATAATGTGTGAAAGCGAGAGCGATGGACATTGAAATGTGTAGTGAATGGAGTCATCACAAATACGTATCTGTGACAAAAAGACGCCTTTACTATGCAGGGATTTCCCTTCTGTCGGGAAACAATACACAAGGGCGAAGTAGAAGAAAAGGGAGAAAAAGAAGTCAGAAGGGACAGACACAGGGAGGAGTTTGTTGTGCATCGCCGATCCTGTACTGGCACTGTCCTAGCGTTGTCATCCATTTATTTTAGCTGCATATGCAGATGCAAGTTGAAACTCACCAGTGTTGTATGTGCCGTGCCTGTTTTCGGTTTAGGACAATGTCCCATTTCGGTTTTGGTTTCCCCCTTCTCGGTTTTTCTTTTTGTTTCTTTGAGTGTTATTGTTGTTGTGAGTTTTGTCGGCTTGTGATTGTGCTGTGGAATTTTCTGTTGGTCCTCGTAAACCGTCCAGTCTTTGTCTTTCATCGGAGACATGTCGATTGCTTCCCCGTGTTGCTTTTTATCCTTTGGTTGTTTGGTCTCGCGGGCCTTCGCACAGTCGTGTCCGACGCATCTATCCTTGAATAAAGTTCTGAAATGTCAAGGTCAACCGGTAAGAAAAGACGTTGGACGTTACAAAGGCTTATGGATGGAGTGCTCAACGCTTTGATGTTATGTGTTGGAGACCTTGTCGTTTTCGTGCGTCTTTAGCAACGGCTGGTAAGGGTTGTCCGACTTGCCCGTGACGTGGACGTAGACTAGACTAACATGAGCTGCCCACACTGGCACTGGTTTATCTCGAGGTGGCCGAGTCTTTAGCAACGGCTGGTAAGGGTTGTCCGACTTGCCCGTGACGTGGACGTAGACTAGACTAACATGAGCTGCCCACACTGGCACTGGTTTATCTCGAGGTGGCCGAACCAGCGGAGTCACGGAGGTATGACGTTTGCCCACTCCGAAAACGTACTTGGCTGTTGATGTGCTGTTGCCGCATATGGTGGCGTTTTGTCTCTTGGCCCTGGCTGGAGACGAAAGGACCAGAAAAGGCAGATGCCCCGAAGGCCCATCAGAGGTGTCGGAATTATCAGTTGCGGAGGAGGTAGCAATACGAGACAGAAGGGGACAAATTGGAACAAACTAGCCGCTGTATGTCATCAGAATGTTGTCATGAGCAGGGAAAAAAGACGCACAATAAGAACGGCTCGCACAGTCTCCATGAAATGCTAAAACCGCCCGTGCCGCCATCCCATGGACGAGGGACGGGGAAAGGGCAGGGGTTGGGTGCATCCGCCGGCGGCACGCCCCTTAGTTTGGTAGGGCCGCCCGCCAACCGAAAGCAACGCTGGGAGGTGCCTCTCTTGCCCCTCTTTGAGCACAGGCCAGGCCAAGGATACATTCAGCACCATTCGAGACTTATGATTTCTCGTCGTTGGCCAATCGCCGTGACCGGACACCATTTCTGGCGGGGCGGTCTGGATGCGAGGCTTTCCATCGGGGGAGTCGGTAAGGCAAGACCTGTGAGATTGTGAAGAACAAGCTTGAATATTGCTCCGTGTCTGTGGGCGGGGCCGACCACTGGTTTGTGACCATTTTGTCGCTGTTGGTGATCAGCAAGTGTAAATTGTAGTGTTACCAAATGTCGACAGGTGCAAGGAACGACATACTCCGTGAAGAAATGTTGTGGCATTTAGGAGTACGGAGTAGATGGATGTGCGGTAATGGTTAATTGCTGCAGGCAGCAGATGGGCATGCTGCATGATGGGAAGGGTTGGTACTCAGAAAAGCACCCGCAGCTGCAGATGATCTTGTACAGGTAGCGCGTTCGTCCGAACATTGCTCTTGCATGCACGTACATCGTACTGGCACGGAACGCCTTGAGACGAAGGATGTTCGGAGCAATACGTCGTGCGTCCTGGGCCGGACCATCGACGCCAGTCGCCGACCTGCTAATACGCCGTAGAAGGTGGTCTGAACGGTGAACGCAGGGGCCCGGTTAACTGCAACCGCAAGAAAAGGACAGAGTACGATGCACGCAGCCGCCCCTTTCGCCGAATGGTCAACTTGAAATGCGTCCCCCACATGCCAGTCTTGCCGTGAGTAAGGAAGAGAGATCGACAAGAGACAAGATGAGGCAAGCGCAGGCCGCATGATGTAGGTCATAGAGCCAATATGGCAAGGGAACAAAGAGAAGCAATGGCAGAGGTATTGCCCGAGTCTCGGAAACAACAGAAAAACACAGCATTAACAACGAAAGATACTGCGCCTTTTGGGTGCTCTGAACTTACAGAGGAAGTCAAAGGAAGCAGCCAGACCACCGACTTGCGAAGGCTTCGGCACAGACGCGGCTTTCACTTCCATTTTGATTATCTGGTCAAAACGTCCCGTGCAGTCTGCCTGAACTTTCTTGTCGTTCTAGTCTTGCTGTTGTGGTTGTTGTTGTTGTTGTCGTCCCTTTTGGTAAGTTGGTTGCATGCATTGTGTCGGGTTTCGCCAGCCGAAATTGGTACGTGCACACCGCCAACCGGCTACAAGTGTCAGAGGTGCAGAATGCGCAGAAATGTGCAGAAATGCGCAGTGTCCGGCGGTGTCTGGTGGCTGGCGCCAATTATTACCGCTTCGAGTAGTGGTATTGGACATTCTGTGCAAACCAGTCTCCAGGACTGGTGTTGTCATTTCTGCTCCCAATGGATTTGCCTAACTTGGACGAGCGTGAAAAAACGATGCGTGACGGATCCCGCGCGAGGCGCCGCTTGTTGTCCTTGCGGCTGGGACCAACAACCAGTGAAGGCCGGCAAGGAGACTGACGACTAGTGTGTGGACAGAAACAGCAAAGGATTGCCGGTGCTAGGCTAGAGGCGAGGCCTTGCCAGAGGCATTTAACGGCGTGCGTTGGGCGATCTTTTCTTCTGGAACCGGCCGTTGGCTATCATCATTGCCAGCAGTTGTCCAGCCATAAGCATTGTGGGATTGTGGGATAGTATCCTGGTTCTCTCCTCGGTGATGTTCGTGCTTGCTGTACATCGTACTGCGGCTGAGAGGAAACCCCTGGCTAGATTGCAAGGGCCAAGAAGCCTGGCGAGCCAGGAACAGGACCCAAAGCCAGCTGCATTCTTGCTTGGCCAAGTCCTGTTCAAGGTTCGTTGTTGTTAGGGGAAATGCAACATCGGCCATCGAGATCATCTTCGATTTGATTCCCACACTGTCGTCATTGCTACCGTGTATCGAAGCAGTTCCTCCATTTTGTGTACGTCAAACGGAGTTTCTGGTCCTGTTTTTTTGGTAGACCATCCCTGTTTTAGTATTTTGTCGGGCAACCTTTGCACGTAGCTGTTTTGCTCTCTTTCTTTCTCTCTCTGTCTTTCTTTTCTTTTCTTTTTTTTTTTTTTTTTTTGATACCACCCGCCGAGGTATGTGTAGTGCCCCCGGTTCAATCCTGGTCCTCGCCAAGACGATGTTGCACCATAGCTAGAAACAGAACGTTGCTTTTCACACCCCTGAAGACGCCGGCCGAAAGCAGCAAAAGCAGCCCCCAAAACGACAACGCCAAGTCGAATGTGATTTGACACATGCTCAGGTTTTGCTCTTGCTCGCAGTTTGTAAGGTTCTTTCATCGCCCTTATGTACCCCGTAATGCGCTGCTGGGGCCTTCAGCTTCAAGTGAACTCTGTTCGTAGACTGCTTTGGTGTCTTGCTTGTTGTTACATGCCACTCGCGCTTGGACTGGTCTGCAGGATTGTGCTTCGCCTTGTGCTGCTCGGGTGGAGGTTTAGCTTTCGCGGGAGGTTTGGGTTGTGTTGCATTTTGCATCTGCATCTGAAAACGCGGTTTGCAATTTTCGGCCGTGTCGGGGTTTGTTGTGTCGTTGGCTCGATACGATATACCTGCCCAAACCACTCTGGAGGAGTGCCTAGTGCCTAGTGCCTAGTGCCTGATCGTACTTGCCCTAGCGAGCTTGCGAATCCCGAAACGCATATCAATTCGTGCTTCGCGACTGCCATATCCAATGCCCTGTCTATCGCAATCCGCTTTTTTCCATACCGACCTCTACCGCTAGCGCCTGCCGCCCACTATTATTGCTGCACATCTGGCACTAACATGTATTGGGAGAGTTCGGCGTTGCATTCATGCCCGTGACGTCGTATTCAAGGCTAGAGAATTATCGCCCTGTTCCTTGTCGTCAATTTGTGTTATTTTGGGGGTTTCTTGTCTTCGTAACCTTTGTCTGGTGGACAAGGAGACAAAGAAACGCAAAGGTGACATTGGGATCGACACTGGGGCCCTCTTTCCTCCCGCGATTGTCAACCACCTTTATCGTGCCTTCCTAATGACAGAGCACGAACGACAATACCCCGTATGGAGAAAGAGCACTGCATAGGTGTGCGTCGTGTATTTGCGGTCTTTGCACCTTCCTCGTTCAAAAAATGTTTTGTGGCTGCCATTATGGAAGAATGCCCTCGATGCCACGGATGTCTGCTACTCGCTCTTTCCCTCCCCTTTCCTCTCTGCCTCTCATCCCTTCCGTACTTCGTACCGCTCCTCCCCTTTCATGTCGTGTGCAAACAAAGACAGGCCTCCACCCCCTGCATCCAACTCGACCCAACGTCGTGATCTTCCTTGTACGAATTTATCTTCCACCAAGCCGTACAATAGAATATGCACCACCCCCCATCCGCCCTGGACACATCCATTTCAAGTCTTTTCCAGCTTGCCCAACGGGAAGCCTCACCTCGGGTTACCTTATTGGCTCTACTTCGTACCCGTCACCCTCGCTGACAATTCCGGCCTATTTCGTACACGCCCCTTGCAACCCTTGGTCGAGGCCCGTTCCAACCCATTTTCCCATGGAGGCCTGATTGAGGACCTCCGTCGAATGCTGTGCACAGATGCCCACCCCCTTTCTCGCCGAACTTGAGCCACTTGGGCTAGTTGAGCCACTTGTCCCGCGCGCTTGTCGCTTGAGCCAACTGGTCGGTCCAAAAGAGCGGACCGCAGAGGGAAAACCACAAGGGGAAAAAAGAGGGGACCACCTTGAGGCGAGAGCCAACAGGCGTAATGAACCACCCCCATGTTGCAGAGGTCTTGCAGATGCACACAGGATGGCTGATAGGAAGCTGAAAAGTAAAGAAACGACGCAAAAATGACACAACCAAGAAGGCTGACAATCAACTACTACATTTGGGTCTATGCCGACCAGAGCTCGCAAATCGCAGTCGATATACGAAAGCCAGCACGAAAGGGGGCCCCGTCCGCAGAGGCCCGCCTCGGATTCTAAACAAATCACGGCCCTTCACCTCTCTGTCCTCTTTGTTGTGTGCTGCTGGTCTGCTGATCCTTCTCTACCCAAGACGCTCATCCCTTTTCTTTTTCCTCGTCGCCCTCTTGTCCTCAGACATACAGGAGCACCCCACTCATCACACAACTGCAGTCACACGAACACGACATTCGTCAGTTTCTGCTCGGAAAGGAAATAGGACCCTGAAGCTCTTTCTCCAACCTCGTTGTTATTTTTTTTTTTTTTTTTTTTGCCTCATTTTGTTTGGGACGGACTTGTACGGGCTTTTTGTCCGATGCTAAGCCGATACTTTTTTCCCCTTCTTATCCTTTCGGTTTCAATGTATTTTATTTATTACCTACCCGACGACCACAGCGACAAGATTCACACCGTGACGAACAAGCCTTGGACTAGCCGTCCCCAGCCCTGCCTATCTATGTAAATGCCTAAATTCTTGCTCGCTGCCCATCACTGTCCAACGCATTTTGGGCTCGATTCTTGTGCCGATTCTCCTGTCACTAATGCTATGTTCCCTCTCACTTTTCTCTTTGCGCAAATAGCTCATTTTTCTATCCCGTTGTTTTTATTGATTCTTTCTCAATTATACATTTATAAGCATATTCGTATCCTCAAGTTCCTTTTAGCAACCCCAGTCCATCTTCTTACACGGTTCCCGTATCCTGGGCTGTGTTTCCCTTGCTACAAAGCCTCGTCCCTGCCGTCAAATGTTTCGGGCGTCTCCAACGGCTGCCCCATTCCAGTCGTTCTTGCACTTGCTTGTCTCTCTTAGGTTCCTTACGCCCAGCTAGGCCAGATATTGTTTTTCTGTCTGTCCTACCATATCCCTGATCACTTCTGGCACATACCTGGCCTATCGACTTATATGTATCTGGGTTCCCATGCTTTTCCCATTTGCGTTAACTTTCCTCGAGAACTACTCTTGCAATATCCGTGCGGCTCTTTGGGTGCTAGAGTAGCACAACGCACAAGCTGTGAGCATTCGAAAAGTGCGACTTGAAAGCAAATCGGTGCCTGGATATATTACGACCTCGGTCTGTATCTCTCTCTTAGGATATGGACACACCATCGACTTGCTACGTACAGGGCTCGACGACTTCTACACCCACCAACACCTCGACATGAAGCAAGAGAGCCGCAACTCCCAGATGCGCGGAATCAAGACTTCAGGAAGCCATGCCCATGGCAAGAAACGGCGCGGCGCGGCACCGGGCCACCATGAGGCTGACCATGCGGATATGCCTTACCCATCCTCCCATGCAGACGGGTGGCAGCAGGAGTTTTACAACCAGCCGAGTTCGGCTCCCGCTACTACTCGAACGACAATATCGGCCCTGTTGAACCACGAAGACGGTGCGGAGGCGGATACCGACTACTACGCGGCTTCCACGGATAGAAGTACCACCTCGTCCACGATGACGCCCAACAGCACACTTTCTCACATACCACCGGCACCCATGGACAATTCCTTTGCGTCGGTTGTAATGTCACACCAACGGTCTACGACTTCTTTGAACGGCGCGTATACGTACCATGCACACGAGTCGCACATTGCCCATGCTACATACGCTAGTGACGAGGACTATGAGAGAGGCAAAGCCAACTTGGAGTATACATACGGCTATGTCGACAACGGTGGAAACCCGCATGACGGCAGTGCTAGATATGACGACAGTTCTAGCAAAATCAAGACGAGCAAGTCGAGGCAGGCGCGCGAAACGAAACCTAAGAAGAATGCTTCCTCAACGTCCAGGAGCCAGAAAGGAAGCAGCCGTCAAAAATATACGCCAACTTCAGCCACAGCCTCTTCTCCAGCATTTTCGGCGCCGCACACTCCAAATACGCCAAACACGCCAAGTATGCACACGCCGCACCTGACATCTATTGGCAGCGGCAGTATAGGTAGCAGTGGCTTCGATGAAGACGACGACGAGACCGATATTTATGGGCGGCGACTCGGAGGAAGTATTGCCAGTCGAGACACCTCAGCGGCGCCTCTCGGCCGTCCACGCGCCGAGGCCAACCAACCTCCAATTATCCAGCGCGAACGCAATCGAATGGCGGCGACAAAGTGCCGCGCAAAATCCAAGGCGGCCATCTCGAAACTCGAAGAGGACGAGCGTGCGGTCACCGAGGAGCGGAACAATCTCTTTGCGCAAAAAGAGGTCCTTGTCGACGAAGTTCTGAATCTACGAATGGAGCTGATCCGACACGGACATTGCGTGGGCGACAACAACATCCAGAACTATCTTCAGAACGCCGCCCGCATGATTGGAAACAGCGGCGGTAGGCACATGATCTGGGGCCCCGATGGAAGTGGCAGCCCTAGCGGCGAGGGCTCTGCAACGAGAAATGGGAGCAGACGAGACCGGTGAGCGCTGCTATCTTCTTTTGCCTGGGCCAGCGCCTCCAAACATACCCGGACACTCAAGGATACGGGCATGAGGTCCATGCGTTCCACACCTTCACCCTTTGCGTCTTGTCGTTTTTTCCCTAGCTAGCCTGCTTCTGCAATGTTTCGATTTCTGTGCAATGTTGTCCGTTTCATCTCGAGACTCACCAAGTCTGCTTATGCCTGGAGAAATGAACAACGGGTATATTTTTCGTTTCTTTTCCTTTCTGTTTTAAGTCCGCTTGTTATGTACCGGAACTTTGTTGGCGCACCCAGGGGTATTTTTCTTGGCCGGACATCCTTTGTCTGTTCTTACTTGTTATCCAGTCGGTTTTGTCACCGTCATTGTTTTTACGACACGTGCCTGCATATCTGTCGTCAACTCGACCGACATCAAAAGCCTTATGTTTGACGTTGTGGTGTACGATGTTTATAAGTTCACGCGTTTTGTTTTTGTTTTGTATGTATCAATTTTTGGCAGACGTCCCTCTTTACGCTATTTTATACCAGAACACAATCCACTCACGATTTACGACCGAAGCATGCCGCTGTCATTTAGTACTTCCTGCACTTTCAGATTGGATGCCTGTTTACATTGGGCACATTGGATAAGGTTGCTGTGGAATGCACATATAGGGCTCGAGGTCATATTTCAAAAAGTACCTTGGAAGTAGGAACAGCGGTTGTGGCGGGCGATTAGAAGGAAAGCAAGAACTGGCCCGGGGATTTTATAGTGTCCGTGGCCGTCCTGATTGTTAAGCCGGCATACTCTCCGTGAATACACATTGCCAGGGAGAATCTGAAGAATGAAATCTCGCCGGCATTCCGGTTTGTTTTGATTACACAAGCCGAGCCACCAATTTTTGCTGCCAAGCAAGAGTTCGGTCCTCTCCGTTGGTTCCGAACCGTCGAGACAGCGGCCCAGCGTGGGCACCTGGATTTTTTTTATTGTGACCGCTTCTCCTTGTAAGTCGTACGGAGGCCCGTTTCCTATATATTCCGGAATATTTTGTTAAAAATTGTGGAGTGTCCCGAGCTTTGCGCCATCTGCAGCAGTGGGGCTGGGCGGAGACGGGGAATGATAGCGGCAGAGTGGATCAAATTCGCGACTTGCTGGCAGGGCCGAAAGCC